GCCATGCCGCTTACTGTGAATCAAGCTGACATGCATTCAAGTTGCTCTCCTTCTCCTAACTTCTCTCTATTTGTCTGTCCTACAAGCTCCTTGGAGAGCGGATCATCCTTCTTGAGGCTTTATGGAAAGTGCCTAGTATGGTGGTGGGTGCAGCTGTAAATAAAAAATAACTAAACAGGAGCATGTACTGTACAAAGGGCTTACGACTCTAGTGTAGAGGTCCCTAGGGCAGACAAACTGAGGACGGTGGAAAGGGTTCTTTCTTGCAGCAGTCTCATGGATCCCTTCAGACTTCTTTGCTATTGGTGCAAATGGAGGCTGGACTCGGCTATACATGGGCTACTGGGTTAAGTTGCCAGGAGCTCCCAGTCAGTATATGGCAAATATGATGGACTTGGAAGACTCTCTTGTGTCACACAGAAGTGCAAGTCCCTTCAGCCAACCAACCACAGAAAGGAGATAACACAACCATAAATGAGATCATCTCAGATGTCATTATGTGCACAACACAGCCTGTGTGGGGGCTGCCAATTACCAAAGCAGTGTGTACACCCCCAGCGTATGGGAGGCTGACTTCCCACCGCCCAGGCTTGTGTGGCCTGCTGCTGGGAATAGCACCCGCCCTTAAAATAGCACAGGCTTCTGAGGACACATTCCAGCTCCCCTGCTCTTAGATCTCTGAATGGAATGGCATCGATTTCAGGCGGTCAGCAAGCACAAATATCCAGAATAGGAAGAGAGACTGAGTAGAATCCTGAGTAGAATTCTGGCCTTCAGAGCTCACATCCTTAACTCACCCTCTGCCTGTTATTAGCATGTTCATCAAGTCATGTCCCCAAGTCATGTATTAGTTTCTGCAGATCTCCCCAGGCCTGTAAGGCCTCCCATTAAGGCCATCCTCTTTTGAGGAGAGGACGTTTTAAGGAAAATTAAAGCTTCCCAGAGCGATTGGCTAATCACCAATGGTCTAATCTCACCCACAGGATAAACTGGCTCCTTGGCCAAAGGCACCTTATTGTTCAAGCAACTTGATTTGCTACAGGTTTTCAAGCCTCACAGGAATATTCACGACTGTCAGACAATGCCAAAGGATGCTCCCAGGTAGCTGGTTCCCATGCTGCACGTTGTTCTAGGGTCAGAGAGTTAGGCATGGATTCCCTAATTACCTGCTCTCTGAAACCTGCCATTGTCAGCATATCAATCTCTCTTCCAGAAGAGGAGGATGGGGTTAACGTTCCCTGCTTCCCACACCCTCCTCCAAATTCATGACCTTCACTGTCCCAAGATCACTGTTTTCACGCTCTTGTCCCCTGGAGGGAAAAAAACAACCCCAAAACATGTTTTTTCCTGGAGTATTTAGGCAAGAGTTACTTCAGGCAGTTCAGCCCAGCCATTCCTTGGCATCAGATTCTCAACACTGGGCCAATGAAAGCTGCAAGCTACCCCTTGGGCCACCAGCGTGCAGTATTACTTGGCACCTGCCCTCATCATTTCTGACTTGTATAATTTATTACACATGCTGTTAACACTCCCACAAAGACACCAAAAACCCAATTATGACTTCACACCTCCCCAGACTAAGAGCATGGCCACAGGGTGTCAGAAACCGGTACAGTAGCTAGAAAGTGACCCAAGTGCTGGCAAGGACACACGCTGCGCTGTCCAAGGCTGGCACTGGCATGGTTCAAAAGCCTGGCTGCAAATTACAAATATTGTCCATTTGAGTATCACCAGGCCCATCTTCCACACTCCCCCTGAGAGGTGTCAGCCCTACCTGCCCGCTCCCCGACCCATGTGGTTCTGTTTGCTGAAGTCACACATTGCCCTACAACTCTTCAGCAGCTAGCTCAGTGGTTCTCAAACTTTTGTACTAGTGACCCCTTTCACATAGCAAGCCCCTGAGTGTGACCCCCCCCACTTATAAATTAAAAACACTTTAAAATTATATTTAACACCATTATAAATGCTGCAGGCAAAGCAGGGTTTGGGGTGGAGGCTGACAGCTCGGGACCCCCCATGTAATAACCTAAACCTTGTGACCCCCTGAGGAGTCCTGACCCCCAGTTTGAGAACCCCTGAGCTAGCTCGACAGAGAAGTCAAAAGTTTAGCCTTGCCTTAGATAAGGCTTCAGCCAGCCAAGTCTACAGGCTCAAGGCAGATGAACGTGAACTGGACCTGCTCTAGCTATTGGCTGCAGTTCAGGGGTCCTTTGTGCTGCACAGTCACGTGGCAAGTTTAAACCCCTGCAAAGTCCTACAGAATATGCGGATCCCTTGGGTTTTCTGAAGGCATTTGGCTTAAGATAAAGACAGACTAAGGAAGAACAGCAGCTAGTTCTTGACACCTGCTCCACTCTGCTCCTGGCACCTGCCCCTAGCTGGGGAGAGTCTTTCTGATAAACTAGCATTAAAGATTTACAGAGCAAGATGAAATTCAATAAATACAAGTGCAAAGTACTACACTTAGGGAGGTAAAATCTAAAGCATACGTACAAATGGTGAATAACTGGGTAGGTGGGAGTACTGCTGAAGAGGATCTGGGGTTTACAGTGGAGCTACAGTGTGATGCAGTTGCAAAGAAAAAAGGATAATAGCATTCTGGGGTGTATTAGCAGGGGTGTCACATGTAAGACAGGGGAGGCAATTGTCCCACTCTACTCGGCCCTGGTGAGGCCTGAGCTGGAGTTCTGTGTCTAGTTCTGGGTACCGCACTTTCAGAAGGATGTGGACAAGTTGGAGAGAGTCCAGAGGACTGCAACCAAAATGATAAAAGGTTTAGAAAACCTGACCTATGAGGAAAGGTTAAAAAAACTGGCAGTGTTTCATCTTGAGAAAAGATGACTGATGGGTGACCTCATAAGTCTTCAAATCTGTTAAAGGCTGTTATATAGAGGAGGGTGATCAATTCTTCTCCATGTCCACTGAAGGTAGGACAAGTAGTAATTGGTTTAATCTGCAGCAAGGGAGATTTAGATTTGATATTAGGAAAAAAAATTCTAACTATAAAGCAGTGGTCCCCAAATGGTGGGGCATACCCCCCTAGGGAGGCACGGCAAGGCCTGGGCCAGCCCCCATGGGGATGGGGAAGGAGAGCTGCCCAGCTCCACTCTGCCCCCAGTCCCGGTCCTGGCTCCAGTCCCGCCCCCAGCCTCAGCCGTGGCCCCTGGCTGTGGCTTGCTCCCGGTCCCACTCCCACCCCCAGACCTGCCCCCAGCTGTGGCTTACCCCTGTCCAAACGCCCCCTAAGCCACGGCCCTGCCACCAGCTCCAGAGTGGGGCCATGCAGACTGGGATAAGGGGGGGCCTGATGTGAAAAGTTTGGGGACCACTGCTATAAAAAGTTTGTTAAGCTGTGGACTAGGCTTCCAAGGGAGGTTGTAGAATCCCAATCATTGGAGGTTTTTTAAGAACAGGTTGGACAAACACTTGTCAGGGATGGTCAAGGTTTACCTGGTCCTGCCTCAGCTGAGGGATGGGTGGGTGGACTAGATGACCTCTTGAGGTCCTTTCCAGCACTACTTTTCTAGTGCTAATGTAGTGCAAGTATCACACAAACACTTCAATCTTTATCCCCTGCTATTGTGTTCCTGGGGCCATGCACAGCTCTGCTAAGGCACTTCAATTCTGACTTGCAGCTATTCCGGTTCTGGCCTCTTGAGAATGCTGTTCAGTCAGGTAATACTTCTGGGACATGCCCAAAATTGGGAAGAGGGAGGAAGGAGGGTTGAGAGAAGATGGAAATTTATGTAATTGTCTTACTTCTGACCTGTTAGGATTGTAGCTCTGGTCTCCAGAGATGGAACACCATTCCACCAACCCACAATAATCACCTGGCTCCCAGATACCTCACATTACAACATAACCTGGAGGGGCTCCGCTAGCTAACATGAAGTTCCTGTTGTGCTCTTCTTCCCCCCCCTTACCAATAATGGAAACTGTCCGCGCCCCTCCCCTCCATTACTGCACAGCCATAGCTCTCTCCGCAGAAGAACTTGGGCTGACGGTGGAGCTGGGGAGGAGCTGGGCTAGAGGTGGAGAGGGAATGAGGGCAGAGCCGTAGCTGGGGGCAGAGCAATGGGAGGAGTGAAGCTGTGGCTGGGGCCAGAGCTGACTCGGGTGTGGAGCAAAGGGTGGAACTGAGGGCAGAGTGGGACTGGCCACAGCTCTCTCCCCACCCCCAGGGCCTGCTGCACCCCCCCCCCCCCCCGAATGTTCCTCCGTGCCCCCCTATAGGATTGTGCCCCACAGTCTGGGGACCACTGATCTAGACTATCCCTGACAGGTGTTTGTCATCCTGTTCTCAAACTTCCCATGACAGATTCCACACCTTCCTAGGGATTAACTAATCCCTGCTTTAGTAAAGATTGGTGTGCAGTTGTGCACCACGCTATAACTTAACCCTCTGCATTAGCTCCTCTTTTCTGAGATGAAGGGGATTTTGTAGCTCTGTGGCCTGTCAGCAGAGGTCTTTGTGAATGGCCCGGTGGCTGAGGCTCAGGGCTGGTCTACACTACAAAGTTAGGTGTCACTCCCCTGAGAGATGTAGTTTAGCTGACCTAAGGCTAAGGACAAGGAGTAATGGTCTCAAGTTGCAGTGGGGAGGTCTAGGTTGGATATTAGGAAAAACTTTTTCACTAGGAGAGTGGTGAAGCACTGGATTGGGTTACCTAGGGAGGTGGTGGAAACTCCTTCGTTAGAGGTTTTTAAGGTCAGGCTTGACAAAGCCCTGGCTGGGATGATTTAGTTGGGAATTGGTCCTGCTTTGAGCAGGGGGTTGGACTAGATGACCTCCTGAGGTCCCTTCCAACTCTGATATTTTATGATCAGGCCTGACGTAGACTCTGTTGACTTAGCTAGTACATCTTGGAGAGGTGGACTTACGACAGTGACAGAAGAGCCCCTTCTGTCGCTGTAGTAAGTGTCTACATTACAGCACTAGGGCGGCACAGCTGCAGCACTTCCAGTGTAGGTGTAGCCTTATTCTTCATTGTGTCTCCTAGGCTTATGAGAAGCGCTTTCCCACGTGCCCAGAGATCCCTGTCTTCCTGGGCAGTGAGATCCTTCAGGAATCCAAGAGTGATGATGGAGCTGTTCATATTGTCGAACGGAGCTGCAAGCTGAATGTGGACGCTCCGCGGCTGCTGAAGAAGGTGAGAGCCTAATGTACATAGTGTGTCCAGGCTTCCTTGTGTCTGCTGCTTTGGGCAGTAGAGGCTGGAGCCGTGGTGACTGCTCTGCTCCCACATCTCCTAACGTCCTGTATGGCTTTGTTCTTCCTTCCTTCTCAGATCGCTGGGGTAGAGTATGTCTTTTTCATACAGAAAAACACCGTGAACTGGAAGGAGCGAACACTCCTCATTGAGGCTCACAACGAGACCTTTGCCAATCGTGTTGTTGTCCTTGAGACGTGTAGCTACTCGGTAAGTACCTCTCTTCCCAAGCAGCCTTCCTTTTCCTCTTGACCATGTGGTGAGCCAGAGCAGCTGAGTGACCGTGGCGGAAGCCTTCCGCCTTGGGCTAACAGCCAGGGGAGGGCGCTCCGAAGAGTATGGATGCTGGGCTGTAATCCAATGTGACTTGGAAGCCTGTTGACCTGGATTGGGGGCTCCATTTTGATGGATACCTGAAGGGACTCCCAAAGGTGGGAGTGCTCAGCAGCTAGCTCATCTGGGGGGAAGGAGTTACCTTGCCTTGGCTGGAGCATTAGGTCCTGGGGTGAGATCAGAGAGCAAGGAGAGGCAGATGAGGCTCTAGATTTGGTATAAAGTGTTCCCATAGCTCTCTGGGTTTAGAATTAGAGTTAAGAGGGATGTCTGGCCAGTGTTGGGGTTTGGCCTTGGCATGATTCTAGCAGTTTAGGGAGGAGCCCGAGTACTTATTGTGATGGGAAGTTGAGGTGGTGGGTAGGGCAGGCAGTTGTGGCAGCTGAATTCTCATGCTGCTCCCAAATGAGCGCAGTTCCTGGCTTCCCTGTCGTGCTCTTTCTGTCCCCGGGACTTCCAGATTGCTCCTGTGTCGATCATTTAGATAAAGCTCTTGTGCTGCTTATCTGTGGCCTGAGAAGATGTCACCCAGCGTGTTCCACTTGTCGAGTGTGTGTACCATATCAGTGCATCTGGGCCACAGGGGTTCAATCACCATTAAAAATAGCGTCATCTATTTCTGGAAGCAATCAGATACCTCACCATGTTTCCTAAACAAAAGTCCAGATCATGTTACTTACCTGCCCTCTCAGCACTTGTACGTTAGTGCAGCTTCTTGGAATCAAAGAAGCTTGCAATGGCTGTCGCTTCTAGTGAAGCAAATAACTTAACCCCCTGCCCAAATCTCCCCCACCCCCCGATTTCACTGGGCCCCCAGGGCCAGGACCATTGGGACATTTGTGTGGTGTGGTGGTCATGGAAATGATAATGGATCAGGTTTTTCCATTGCTGTCACCATGGGTCTATCTCAGCTGCTGACTGTGTTGAGCTGCTGCTCGGTGAGCCCAGCAGTGATGCTGTGTGTGTGCGCATGCACCAGTGCCAAATTTCATGCTACCGGGATCTCTCTGACCGCAGTGTGTTACCTGCGGGTCTTGAACCACTCTGGAAGGAAGCTTAACTCCTGGGTTTCCAAGATATGTCTGCTTTCTGGAAGGGAGGAACTACTTGTTTGCATCCTTGAGATGCTCCTGCTGTCTATTTTTGCCCATTTCCGCTTAATTGTGGGAGTGTACAGGAAACAGGTTTTTCTCATGTTTCAACCTCAGCCATGTTCCTTGGAGAAATAACATCTTTCTCTGGCTGCTGCCTATAATCCCTATGGGGACTCTGTTCTTTACCAATTTCTATGTGCATGGGGGGCAGGGGGGTTGTACTCTGTTACTGGGCTAAAACAGTAACACATAAGGGGAAAGCAGACTCCTTCACAAGGGATAGAGGTAAGAGCTATGTGGGTGTGTTCCTTGAGGAAAAGAATGTAGGGAGACTGCCTAGAGAGGAAGGAAGTTCTGTGGTTAAGGTAGTGGCTGAGACTCAAGAGACCTGATATAGTTCCTAGCTCTGCCACAGACTTCCTGGCAACTTGAGGTGAGTCATTTAATTTCTGGGTACCCATTTCCCATCTGTTCAACAAGGGAGGATAATTTCCCCCCTTCCTTCACTCTGTCTTATCTATTTAACTTGTGAACTGTTTGGGGCAGTGGCAATGACTGTCGGGTGCTTCCTCCTGGTAATTGGGCCTAGCAGTTGGAGTGGAGGTCAAAGCCGGCTGTAGGGTCAGGGCTGGGCCAAGGGTAGTGCTAGAACAGAAATCAGAGTCCAGGGACAAGCCAAGTCAGTACCATAGCTGGAGTCCAGGTGCAGGCCAAAGTTTGAAGCTGGATAGTCAGAGTCTGAGGGTCAGGAGGCGCAAGGGCTGAAGTGAGGTCGGAGTAGTTCAAGGACAAGACCCGGAACCAGGCTCAGGCAAGGCTGGGGCAGGAACAGGATCAAGAACAGGCTGGAGAGTGTGTTACGCTGCGAGGCAGCAGGAGGGTTCCTGGCCGGGCAATGCTGTTGATTAGATAGATCAACAGCTCTGGCTGGCTTGGGGAAATAGATGACCCCAGGCTCAAATGACCCAGTCTCTGCTCAGGGACAAGCTGCTGCCGCGTGCCTGAAGGCTGAGTCACTGCAGGCTCTGCTGGAGGGGCAGCTGAGCGAGCAGCCCTGGTTTGGCTGCGGGTTTGCTTCACAGTGACCATCTCTTGCTACGTGCACGTACTGCGTCTAGCACCATGGCTTTGATTAAATGCTCTCGGCACTGTTGTAATGCTCTTTCTACTCCTGCCATTACCATTTGGGGGGCCAAGCAGCAGAGGTAGGTTTAGTCTTGATTTCCTTGGGTGGGGAGAATCCCATCCTAACGGTGGTTGTGCTCCAGATGTGTTCTAACGCTGCTGTCAGACTGAGCATCGCAGTCCTGATTAATCAGATCACTAAGTGCTGACAGACCTACATCCTGCAGGAAGCCCCCTGGTCTGCAGCCTGGGAGAGTGAACAGCCCCATTACTGCCTGGCGTGAAGGCTGGCAGCCTTGGTCTGCTCTGTGCTGTGTGACTCCGGGCCTGTCTCTGTCTGAGTTTAGGTTCACCCTGAGAATGAAGAGTGGACGTGCTTTGAACAGTCTGCGTCTCTTGACATCAAGTCGTTCTTTGGCTTTGAAAACACAGTGGAGAAAATTGCCATGAAGCAGTACACTGCCAACATCAAGCGGGTGAGAGCTGGCTTTCCCCCTAGCTCCGAGAACTGCAGCTCAAGTGTCCACAGCCCGTTAGAAGTGGGGAAGTAAAATGGCTGCTCGGGTCCAAGGTTGCCATGGCAGTGAGTGCAAAGGGTCATGAGATGCAATGTTCTCTAATGGGTAGATCAAGGGAGTGGGAATCAGCAGGAGACCTAGGTTCTGTGACCAATTCTCCCCTGTGCCGCTGCCTTGAATAAGTCCCTTCGCCTCGCTGTTGCCTGAGTTTCGTCCTCTGTAGAGAGAGAAAACGCAGCTCTAAGGAGCATCTGGGCCCTGCCCTGGGTCTCTGAGTCTCAGTGGTAGAGAGCGGAGATTAAGCCACTATCCAACAAGCAAAACAATCTGTTCATTTGGATATCTCCATGCAGAGGTTGTAAGGGAATTATTCTGCGTGAGGGCTACATTCCATGTGCAGTCCAGGCTCCCTGAGTCGCTCCCTGACCAGTGTCCCCACACAGGAAGCCTCCTTCCTGAATACACATGCAGGAAGGATGAGCCCTGGGTGCCTGTTAGTTTCATTCCACTAAAGACTCTGCTCTGACGGGATCTGGGCAGTGCAATGGCGTTGTCTTGGGGGAGATGATAGTTTGATTTGACGGCCTTTTCCCTGGGTTTAGGGTCGCAGGGGAGCAGTGCAGCAAACAGGTGAGATGTGTAGGGCTGACTGACCCTGTTTTCTCCCTCTTCTGTACCCAAACCTGTTCTTATCTCAGGCATTCTCCTGAGTAACAGCATGTTTTCTCTTCTCTAGAGTGTGCCTTTCACACTCCAATAAAACATTCCCCACACAGGTCCATTCCGCTCCCTGCTGCCTTGCTCTAAAGCTGCTGCACGAGGCCATTAAACATGGGAATGTGCTCCTTCTTCCCTGGGCTAGGGAAACTCCCCCTTCCCGCTTGCGGCTGGGAGGGATACTGATCTCTCGGAGCATTAGAAATCCTTTCCCACGGGGTTTCTCTCTCTAATGCAAGCCTTCACTTCCAGGGCAAGGAGGTGATCGAGCATTACCTGAAGGAGCTGATCTCCCAGGGCATCACCTTCATCCCCCGATGGACACCTCCACCAGCGAGCAGACAAAAGGAAAAGAGGGCCCTGGCTGTGGGACACAACCCTGGTATTGTGCCAGCAGAGTCCTGCATGCATGGAACTACCAAAGAGCAGCCAGGCAGCTTGTGCCCCGCTGCAGAGACGGCTAGCCCTGATGGTATGTTATCACCAGGCAGCGGTGAAGGTTAGCAGTGAAGACCTTCTGGGTCTCTCACTGGGATTTTTCTGCCACTTAACTCTTGAAGCTCCTGCAGCCTGATGTAGGAAAAGGCTCCAGCCCAGTGTGAAAGTGTCTGCCTAAGCAGAAGGAAGTGAGAGGTCATTGTAGCATTGCAGTGACACCTGCAACATTGGGAGCTTTAACTCAGAATCCCTGGCCCTTGCAATTGAGGTATGTCTCCAGGAACTTCGAGAACAGCAAGAAACTGAGATCTGCGACTCCTGGGTTCTGTTCCTGCCTGGCCTTGGTCATGTAGCTTCTCTATACCTTAGTTTACCCACCTGTTAAATGGTTTGAATACTTACCCACTGGCTAAGGAAGCTCAAAGGCACAATTAATATTGGTAAAGTGCTTCGATAGAAGTGGAGAACTCTACTTAGCAGCCGGGTGGGGAGCGGGGGGGGGGAGGGGGGGAGAATTATTGGCTTCCTTTTCTTCACATATCTCTGCTCTTGAACTGCCAGCTTTGTATGGCTCTCCCAGCTGCCCTCTTTCCATTCCATTGTGTCTCTGCTCCCCAGCTTGGCTGGATCTGTGGCATAGCTGCTGACTTAGTTTTCCCCGGGGGTGCTAAATGCTCACTCTGTCCCCTCCCCGAACCTCTGATCAGCTGTTTTGTGGGGGCACCCCCGATCAGCTGTAGCTGGTGGGTGCTGAGCACCCACTATTTTTTCCATGGGTGCTCCAGCCCCGGAGCACCCACAGACGGTGCCTATGATCTGCGGTGAGGGTGCATTTAGGAAGGCTCATTTCTCCTGTAGGACTGAGGGGCAGCAGCGTGTTCTCTAGGCATGTGATCCCTGTTGTGCGATACTGTCGCCTATTGTATCCAGGGTCAGAAATATTCCCTCTGCTCTCCTTTCCCTTCTGTCTCCACATGCCTCCAGCACAGCTGCTGGCCTGTGCCGCTACTCTTGGTACCATGTTCCCTGTACACAAACGCCTCCGGCTGCGCATCTGCCTGGAATGCCACATGTTGGCAGATGTGATCCCCTTGTCCTCTGTCTCTATGCCCTGGAGGGACCCTGTGCTGCACTAGCCACACAGGACAATCCTCATGGTAAAGGCCACCCTTGTATACTGAGAGGAGCCACTAAAGTTATTCACTCTTTCCCCCTGGTGGCTATCCGTGGAATAGCATTTCGGCAGTATCCAGATTGGCCGCTGTTCCCTCTTGCTGTAGGAATATAGTGGAGTGGGATTTTCAAAAGAGCCCAAGGTAGGTAGGTGCCCAGAACCCATTGAAATCCAAGGAGGTGGGTGCCTAAGTCCCTGAAGCTCCTTTGAAAACCCCAGCCAGAGACCAGGGCAGCTTTGGGATGGAGGCAGGAATTAGAAGGCATATTGGCACCATTGAGTACTAGGTGGACCCTGCTGTGATGCCCTAGACATCCCGAATTACTGACTCAGTCCCCACGCCCTAATTGTAATCAAAATGTCTCCCATGGACTCCTTGGGGGCTGTCCAGCCTTTCCCAGACAAAAGCCAGGCAGACTGTTGATGAAGAAGGCCGAGAGTGTTTGAAAATTCCCAGTGGAAATTGTGTGTGTGTGTTAGTGTATGGCAATAACTGTACAATTCCCCAGATCCTCCACTTCTACCAGGGTGAATTCTCCCCTGAGTTGCTGTTTTCTTCCCTCTCCAGCTGACAAACTGGACGCTGATTACATTGAACGGTACCTGGGGCAGCTGACTCCAATGCAGGAAAGCTGCCTGATCCGACTCCGTCAGTGGCTGCAGGAAATGCACAAAGGCAAGGTAGGCAGCCTGGAGACAAGAAGGGAGCTCTCCAGAGAACTGATGGCCTCTCGGAGGCAGCTTTGCTTAGCGGCTTGATTATGTAATTAGGATCCAGGAACCCCTGCCAGTGTGGTCTAGGGCAAATGGCTGCTCTGTGCCTCAGTTTCCCCATATAAAAATAGAACTGTGAATAACTCACATGTGCTGAGGCTTAATTGATTGTGGAGTGCTGTGTTAAGACAGCTATTTCCTGATAAGCTTTAGGTGAGTCTTATTGCTACTGCCAGCGGCAGTACAGAATACCCTGCCATCCTTTCTTCTCCGCTGCTGGTGGCGCTGCCATCAGAGCTGGGTGCCTGGGCAGCAACTGCCGCTCTCCCACCTCCCAGCTTCAGGCAGTGCCGCCGCCAGCAGGAGTGGAGAAGTAAGGATGACAATACTGTGACCTCTAATAGGCTTGCGACCCCCTTAAGAACATAAGAATGGCCATACTGGGTCAGATCAAAGGTCCATCTAGCCCAGTATCCTGTATTCCGACAGTGGCCAATGCCAGGTGTCCCAGGTGACCCTTTTGGGTCAGGGCCCACAGTTTGAGAAAAGTTGTAGAGAAAATTTTTTGTGGGTTGGTCACGGCATAAATAGCAAATTTCGCGGATGTATAATATAGCTACGAAATCTCCTATTTATGCCGTGACCAACCCACGAAAAATGTGTGATTTCTCTGTGGTTTAAGTCGACCCCTTGTAGTATTTATCAAGTGGTCTTGCTTCCCGTCAAAGTCTAGCTTGCTGTGTCTGTGGGGCAGGGTGAGAGAACCTGCTAGTCACACTGGGTAGATCAGTTGAAAACCTACACACATCCCAAGGCTTTTGGCAGACATTGCTCACTAGAGTGGTGGGTGATGATGCCTAGCTTTTATCTAGTCCTTTTCCAGGTGGGCTTCATAAGCCAACTTGCCTAGAGGCTGCTTTAATTTTGGGAGGAATTTTGTTTAAATCTATTTTTTTATGAAAATTCTGTATTTCAAACTTGATGCAGAAACTTCCATATTGAGGAGCAGGGTGTGTCTGTCTGAACTCATGGGAATAGATCACACTCGAACCGAAGAGTAACTACCTGGTGGGGGTAGAGTAGAGTGGGGGTCAGAGAGTGATTTGCAAGTGCAGCCAGAGTTGATCACAGCAGTTGGGTGCTGATCCTGGGTTGCGTTTGGCTCCCACAGGCCGTATTGGAGATTGTGAGACAAATGTATCCCTGCCACTCCTCCATTGATTAGAGCACTGTTACACTGGGGAAGAATTCAGCTTTGTGTTTAGTGGGACACTACCGATGGTTGTGGGTTGAAAGGCTGGGGAGGGTGCATGGTTTGTATTCTCCCCTTCCAGACATGCCCAGAAGAGTGAAGCCTGCTGGCGTTTCTGGATGGAGATGCGCAGCCAGGGCTGTGCTGTGCAGTGTCAAACGCTTGTGTGGAGGAATTGTGCCTGACTGCTTGACGTTAGCAGTGCTGAGGCCCTGATCGGGTCTAACGCACAAACCCAAGAAAACCTTGTGCCAGCAGAACTGATGTCCAGGCTCTGCACTGTGAAATGCAAGAGTGGAGGGACACGTTCAAATCTTATTACTCCGGTTTTGGGTCCCTCCCCCCCCATTCTTACTGGGGATTTAGGGGGCTGGAAAATAGTGTGCTGTGTTCCTGGGGAGCAGGGAGGCAGGGGAGCCTCATTACTAATTGCAGCTCTTGATCTGGCTCCTTAGGAGTAGGACTGAGCTGTGAACAGAGCTGCCCATTCTGTCCCGCCTTGCCCACAGCCAATAGTCCCATCAGGCCTACAGGATAGGTTATGAGGGTGGGTGGGAAACAAAAAGCGAGGCCTTCCTGAAGGTCCCAGATAGGCCCCAAACCGCTCTCCCTCTCATTTCCTTACCCTGATTAACTAACACTCACAGTTCATGACTGGAGCAGGGGAGAGGGGGAGTGTGCAGAGCTGTGCTGGTTAGGTGGGGTTGAACGAGGCATCTGAGGTAATGACTGCCCGCTCCCATTGGTAAGCACTTCTGAGAGGCAGGGAGACCTGGCAAAGAGATTTCTCCCGACCTTCCAAAAGAAAACAGAGTTCACGTACAGTGCTACAGCTGGCTTCTGTGCATGCTGCTTTACAGCTGGGATAACTGCTTTGGCTTGACACACCTTCTGCAGTCCATCCAGCAAAACCACATTGACTCCTGTATCTAATGTGCCAGCTGTCAGACAGCCTGCCCGAGCCACCCTTCGCGGAGAGAGTGTCGGGGAGCCACATTTGTGATGGGTCAGGACCCAGGTTTTGAGCTGGAAAGCACAGTGTAAATGCCTGTTTTTTGTTTTTTCTTGTAGTCAGAGGCTGGGGAATGGAAGCCGGAAAAGGTAAAATCTGGAGCATGTGAGCAATGTGAAAGAGTTGCCCCTAGGGATGGTCGTGTGTGTGTGTGTGTGTGTGTGTGTGTGTGTGTGTGTGTGTGTGTGCGCGCGCGCACGTGCACTCTTCTTGGCAGCTGTTTGCTGTGCTAGATCCACTAATAGGGTGAAATTGACTCTGCCGTAGTGACAGCTGTAGGTAGCCTTGTGCACTTCTCGTAGGTTGTGTGTATTCCCCATGCCCTTTGTAAGCAGAGTGGATGGTATTGGCAAACCCCATTTATTGCTTCCTTGTCTGCTTTGTAGAAGCATAAACAGCTTATCAGGCGGGTACAGAGTCAGATGCTTGTCCCAGACCATTTGAACTCGCTCTGAGGAGGCTGATCTCTTACTGTGACTTTTTTTAGTTCCGGAGTAAATACGTCCCTGTCACCTCTTCAGAGGCTCATTGCAGATCTCTGTTCGTGGGAGCTTGCCCCTTTGGATGTTTGTTTTTAAATGAAATGCTCCCATTGTCCAGTTGCAGTGTCCATTCTCTGCTGCTGTGGAAGGAGCAGTCAAGTGCTTTGCTGAATAAAGTCTTCCATAGCTTGAAGGCCAGCCAGAGAGAACTGGAGACTGTAAATGATGCAAAACTGCAGATTTCTACACATGGCTGTAAGCAATGGTCCGTGTGTTAGTGTTAAAGCAGCAAGTAATGAGAACTACAGGAGCATCTTCATTTTCCTGCCTATGGAAATTACTGCCTCTGGAATTCTCTCAACCATCTAACCAAATGCAGTCCCTCGTGTCAGAAATTCATTCGGCTAACTTAGCCTTTGAACTTGATTCTCTGTATAACTATACCACCTCATCCTCTCAAAGCTCTGCCTCTGACCCAAATGTAAGTGCTCACTCGTCCCTGTGCATTGCTATATTAAGAACTGTACCGCTGCCCATACCTAGGCTTTCTGGTTATTGCTATGACAGACTTTCCTCTGGCGTAGTAAGTAAGCTCTTGCTTTATCTATGTAGTAAGTAGGCGCTTGATTTATCTATGTAATCAGCCATGAAGAGTTTGTTGTAACCTGGGGCAACATGACACTTGAAAATGGCAAAACTTTATGTAGTAACCACAGTGTGTTGGATTCTCTTGACAGGGACTCAGAGGCAGGGCCACCCAGAGGGGGGGGCAAGTGGGGCAATGGGCCCCGCAGGGGCCCCCATGAGAGCTTTTCGGGGCCCCTGGAGCGGGGTCCTTCACTCGCTCCGGGGCCCCCGGAAAACTCTCGTGGGGCCCGGGCCCCCGGAGCTTCTTCCGCTCCGGCTCTTCGGCAGCAATTCGCAGCGAGGGGGTCCTTTCGCCCCGGGACCCGCCGCCAAAGCGCCGGGTCTTCTGCGGCAATTCGGCGGCGGGGGCCCCCCACCGCCGAAGACCCCAGGCCCCCTGAATCCTCTGGGTGGCCCTGCTCAGAGGGCTCCCTTGGATGTTATATTTGATTATTTCTGTAAGGGTTTGAAGTAGCGTTGTCAATTCATCACCATTAACTCACACGATTAAAAAAATTAATCATGATTAATCACCGTTTTAATCACACTGCTAAGCAATATTTTCTATATTTTCAAATATATTTATTTCAATTATAACACAGAATACAGAGTGTACAGTGCTCACTTTATATTATTTTTATTACAAATATTTGCACTGTAAAAATGATAAACAAAAGAAATAGTATTTTTCAATTCACCTCATACAAGTACTGTAGTGAAATCTTCTTATCCTGAAAGTGCAACTTACAAATGTAGATTTTTTTTCTTACGTAACTGCACTCAAAAACAAAACAATGTAAAACTTTAGAGCCTACAAGTCCACTCAGTCCTACTTCTTTTTCAGCCAATTGCTCAGACAAACAAGTTTGTTTACATTTATGGGAGATAATGTTGCCCGCTGCTTATTTACAATGTCACCATAAAATGAGAACAGGCATTCGCATGGACTTTTGTAGCTGGCATTGCAAGGTATTTACGTGCCAGATATGCTAAACATTCGTATGCTTCATGCTTCGTCCACCATTCCAGAGGACATGCTTCCATGCTGATTAACTCTTTTTTTTTTTTTTTTTAGCGAGCATTTTTACATTTGTGACTGAACTCCTTGGGGGAGAATTGTATGTCTCCGACTCTGTTTTACCCGCAGTCTGCCATATATTTCATGTTATAGTAGTCTCGGATGATGACTCAGCTAACATTGTTCATTTTAAGAACACTTTCGCTGTAGATTTGACAAAACGCAAATAAGGTACCAATGTGAAATTTCTACAAGATAGCTATAGCACTCTACCCAAGGTTATAGACTCTGAAGTGCCATCCAAAATCTGAGAGGGATGAGGTGTGGCGCATGCTTTCAGAAGTCTTAAAAGAGCAACACTCCGATGCAGAAACTACAGAACCTGAACCACCAAAAAAGAAAATCAGCCTTCTGCTGGTGCCATCTGATGAAAATAAACATGCGTCAGTTCGCACTGCTTTGGGTTGTTATCAAGCAGAACCGTCATCAGTATGGACGCATGTCCTCTGGAATGGTGGTTGAAACATGAAGGGACATATGAATCTTTAGCGCATCTGGCATGTAAATATCTTGCGACGCCAACTCCAACAGTGCCATGCGAACACCGGTTCTCACTTTCATGTGACATTGTGAACAAGAAGCGGGCAGCACTATCGCCTGCAAATGTAAACAAACTTGTTTGTCTGAGTGATTGGCTGAAGAAGAAATAGGACTGATTGGACTTGTAGGCACTAAAGTTTTACATTTTTTTTATTTTTGAATGCAGTTATTTTTTGTACATAATTCTACATTTGTAAGTTCAACTTCCATGATAAAGGGATTGCACTACAGTACTTGTATTAGGTGAATTGAAAAATACTATTTTTTGTTTTTTACAGTGCAAATATTTGTAATAAAAAATATAAAGTGAGCACTGTACACTTTGTATTCTGTATTGTAATTGAAATCAATATATTTGAAAATGTAGAAAACATCCAAAATATTTAAATACATGGTATTCTATTATTGTTTAACAGTGCCATTAATCGTGATTAACTTTTTTTAATCACTTGACAGCTCTAGTTTGAACCAACCTGAGTAGCCCTGTGGATAGTGGCTTCCTCTCAGCACTGAAGTTGTGTTCAAAGTCTGCTATAAAACAAAACAAAACAGCTGTTTCTATATTAGTGTGATGCAGACAAGTTCTTGCCAGCGTTTATTAAATAAAATTTTGAGCTCCGATGTGGAAACATGTCCACCCTACCCCCTCTCCTCCTTCCCCCCCGCCCCCCCGTAGCCAACATGTACAAATGCGATGTTTGCAAAGAGTTGGTTAGAAACAATTTACCCCAGGTGTGCATCCAAGCTACCTCGAAACTTATCTGCTTTCTCTCCACTGAATCTGTTCTTAGGGCTTGTCTACACGGTGCATTAGTCCACAGTAGAGGGGTATAAATTCTAATTTGCACCTGCATATAGCACGCGAACTGGCCCACGTGGACTCTGTTAAAAGTTCCCTAGTGCGCGTTGTGTAGGACTGTTTGGAACGGGACTACATTCAGATGCACTAGGGAACTTTTAGTGCATGCCAGCAGGGTCCACACAGGCCAGCTAGCGCGCAACTTATGAGTGCATCTTAGACTTGACACCTTTGTAGTGCAGACTAATGCACTGTGTAGACAAGACCTAAGTGTGTCTATTGCAGCTTCAGATCGGTATGTGTAACTGAGATTGCTTCAGGCCTGAAATTCCTGGTTGCTTTGCTTCCAGCCCTTCTTTCTATTTTCATCCGCATGTTAGTAAGCTGATAAGAGAGCTTTTCGCCCTGAACATATGTATTGTTTGTGGTACAGTAGTGTGCAGGCGGCCCACCTGGGACCATGGCCCTATTATGCTAAATGCCGTAGCAATGCATAGGAAGATACAGTCCCCGCTTTGAAGAGTTTATAGTCTGAATGAAAATGAGATGCAACACGAGCTTAAACTGAGGCAATGGGGCGAGGAGGAGATTGGAAGATGTAGCTGCAGATTAGCCGTATGCACAACTTGTAATTTCAAGTCAAATTTAGCTTTGTTTGGGATTTATTGATGATGATTGCTGCTGGCCAACTGCCTACCCCGTTAGTAGCTGGCAATTTTATCTTGGGCTTTAAAGTAGAAGTGAATCTCAAGGGATTTGAAGGAAGTCAGAAAGTACTTGCTATCCTGGAGGGTGCCCCATAGGGTGACCAGATAACAAGTGTAAAACATCGGGACAGGGGTGGGGGGTAATAGGTGCCTATATTTAAAAAAAAAAAAAAAAAAAAAAAAAAAAAAAAAAAAAAAAAAA